CCATCTCTCCCTCCCTCCCTCCCATTCTCTCTCTCCTTCCTTTCTTCTTCCCTCCCTCCCTCCCATCTCTCCTTCGTTCCTAGAGTTATATACCACTTCATAGTGCTTTACAACCCTCTCTAGGCAGTATACAGAGCCAGCCTCTTGTCCCTCCCCCCCAACAATCTGGGTCCTCGTTTACTGACCTTGAAAGGACGGAAGTCTGAGTCAACCTTGATCCGGTCAGGATTGAACTGCCAAACTGCAGGCAGTCAGCAGAAGTAGCCTGCAGTACTGAATTCTAACCACTGCACCACCACAGTTCTCATCCACAGTTGAGCCCAGAATTTCTGTTGCTAAATAAAGCGTTTGTTGTGAGTTTGCCCCATTTTATGACCATTCTTGCCACAGTTGCTAAGCAGATCACTGCAGCCGTTAAGTTGCTAAGTGAATCCGGCTTCCCCATCGACTTTGTCTGTCAGAAGGTCGCCAAAGGGGATCACGTGGACCTCGGGACACTGCAACCGTCATAAATATGAATCCGTTGCCAAGCGTCCAGATTTTGATCATGTGACCGTGGGGATGCTCCAATGGTCATAAGCGTGAAAAATGGTCGTAAGCCACTTTTTTCAATGCTGTTGCAACTTTGAATGGTCACTGAACGAACTGTAGCCTGCCCATTGGAAAAGAAAGCATGGCGTCACATCCATAGCAGATTTTACGACTCTTTTTTGCAGCAGTTGTTAAATGAACATTGCGGTCATTAAGCAGAGCTATTGTTTGTAAGGCATTTTTGCTGAAAACTAGAAACAAATGTCAATTTTCCTCAAAAAAATATATATGATTAATTGCAGGTCAGTTGCCAAGAGCCCAAGATAGAATCGCAGGGGGGGGGGGGGGGGGGGGGGGGAGGTGTGCCATCATAAATTTGTAACCAGGTCATAAGTTGGGAGTCTGCCATAACTTTTGAGTGGCCACTATGTGAGGTTGTAAGTTGAGGATGGCCTGTATTTCACTTCCAGCTGGGAAGAGATTTGAAGCTTTTTCTTATTTAGGAATCTCTTTGAGTTCCTGGATGAATTGGCTGCCACGTGTCCCTTGCAAAAATTTAAATTTCCCAGATGGAGGGAACAGGTCGCAGGAGGAAAATTCCCACGGCAGTTTGGGGCTGGGTTCCCTGGCACGACCGGCTGTGTTGTGCTGAAAATTTCTGGCTGAGATTTGAAAGCTGGCCGCCAAGTGTTAGGGGTTCCAAGCAGATGGTTGGGTTTGTTGTGCAAACACTCTGAAAGTCTAGATTGCAAGGCTGGCATTGGGGAGCTGTTAACATGGGCCTCTTGCATTTTTACGGTTGGGGAGAGAGAAAGAAGAGAGAGCTGAAAGGAAATTAGAAATTAGGGGGGGGGGGAACCTGAACGGACCAAGTTCTGAGTAAAAGGACCCTAAATATCAAAAAAGTTGTAAACATTTTGGGTGGCCGTGTTGGAAATTCAGTGCAGCAAGGTTTCCGGCCTGAGCAGGGCAGGGGGTTGGGCTAGAAGACCTCCAAGGTCCCTTCCAACTCAGGTTAACTAGCATTGATGGTGTTACCTAGTGAACACCTGCAAGAAAACAAGCAAGCTCAAAGAACAGCAAGGAGCCCTCAGCTCTTGTTATTCAGCTAAACTCTCGATTTAACGGACTGATGGGGAGGGAACGCCTGTTAAATCAGACACCGTACACAGATTGTCTGTTGTATCCAAGCTCCGCTGAACCGAAGACTGTTAAATCAGGATGTGTTGTTTTGTTAAACAAGAATCTCTTCAGGTTTTCTTTTATACCACCCCACATTGTGAGCGTGGAGCGTCTGCTCTGCTTCGCCGCAGTGGGCAGTCCGCGCGTGGGGGCCACGCTCGCCAGCCCTTGACCCTTTCCTTGACCCCTTCCCCCCCCCCCTCCCTCCAGCTGCGGCAAGGAGATTACAGGCTGCCAGACAATGTTTTTCAAGCCAGACCAGGAAGGAGTCGGCGAGGTGTGCTTTGCCGGGCGCCATGTCTTTATGGGCTACCTGAACATGGAAGACAAAACGAAAGAAGCAGTTGACAGCGAGGGCTGGCTCCATTCCGGGGATCTGGGCCGGTACGACGAGGACGGCTTCCTCTACATCACCGGGAGAATCAAAGGTAATCCAGTCCCCTGGGTCATGAGGGAAAGTCCCCAGGGTGATACCATGTCCGTGGGATGCTGCAACCCTCACAGATACATACCGGTAGCCAAACGTCCGTAGGGATTCTCAGCCATCCAGGTCTTGGTTGTCCCAAACGGTGCTTTTTTTCTCAAGAGGCAACTGGATTTTCTTGGTTATTTCTTTTGAAGACATTTCGCTTCTCATCCAAGAAGCTTCTTCAGCTCTGACAGGATAGTGGGGAATGGAAGGATTGATACGCCTCGCAGTCAGCTGATCATTTGCATCCTTTTTAGAGAGTTGTTGAGGCCACTTGGAGATCTACCTGTGTCCTCAGAGTCACCTGAGTGGTGCAAATGGGCGTGGAGCCTTCTTGGAACTGCTGAGGACATCATCTATCTCTGGTCTACAACACTGAGGACCCTGAGGAGACAGATAAACCTCCAAGTGGCCTCAACGACCCTCTCAAAGGATGCAAATGACCAGCTGTCTGCAAGGAATATAAATCCTTCCCTTCCGCAAAGGTGCTTTTTTCAGGAGGCAACTGGACTTCCCTTGGTGTTTTTTTTTTTCTTTGAAGACATTTCCCTTCTCATCCAAGAAGCTTCTTCAGCTCTTATTGGATGTTTGGGAAGTCAGAGCTGAAGAAGCTTCTTGGATGAGAAGGGAAATGTCTTCAAAGAAAAAAAAAACCAAAGTCCAGTTGCCTCCTGGGGGAAAAAAAGGCACCTTTGGGACAACCAGGACGACTGGTTGACTGAGAACCTCTACAGACTTCCATTCCCCACCAGTCAGAGCTGAAGAAGCTTCTTGGATCAGAAGTGAAACGTCTTCAAAGAAAAAGAAAGCCCAGTTGCCTCTTGGAAAAGCAACCTTCAGGACTATCCGAAGTCAAGTTCCTGGATTTTGATAAAGTGATTTGGTCGTAAGGGTGAAAACCGGTCCTAAGTCGCTTTCTCCAGGGCCTTTGCCATTTGGGGTGGTCACTAAAGGAACGATTGGAAGGCGAGGATGACTGGTTTCCGCGGCATGTTTGTCCCGTAGACTGCAAGCGTGAACCGACCGAATAACTTTCCTTGGAGGGGTTCTGACGCCATTTCTGTTCCAGAGCTGATCATCACCGCGGGGGGAGAGAATATTCCCCCAATCCCGATCGAAGACGCTGTCAAGGAGGCCGTCCCCATTCTCAGTAATGTCATGTTGGTGGGAGACAAAGCCAAATACCTCGTCATGCTGATGACCCTTAAGGTGAGTGCCGGGTTGTCTACCTGCCTCCCCGGGACCCCGAGAAGGGTGGGGGAGACGAACTCCAGGGGTGGCCATTCCCAACCCCATCAGATCTTTCATGATCCAAATTCTTCATCAACGACATCGATGAGGGGACAGAAGGGGAACTCGTCAAATTGGAACAGGCATGATATTCTTCCGATTAAAATCGGAATTCCGATTTTTTGGGGAATCGCCCCCTCCTTTCCCCCCACCACTTCTTCTCCTCCTTCCCCTCCCCTCGGAGGCCCCGAGTCAGGAGTTGCTGGCGCGGCTCCGCGTGGCTCCAGTCCCGCGTTGCCTCAGGAAGGGAAAGGCAAAAAGGAAGAGCCGCGGTGGCGCTTTGCAACGGCAGCAGCAGCTCCTGGTTTTGCCTTTCCCTTCCCGAGGCAACGCGGGACTGGAGCCGCGTGGAGCTGCGCCGGCGGTAGCAACTCCTGACAGCCCCAGCCGGATACCTGAGCGGCGCCCGGGCGGTGCGAGCGGAGGCCGCTGAGCGGCAGGAAAAGGGAGCTGGGCCAGCCACAGACCAGCCTCCGTGCAACATGCCGCCGCCTGGCCCTGGCGAGGGAAGGCAGCGGGCGCTCCCCAGGCACGCGGCGGGGGGTCTCTTTTGGCCGGCCCCGATTTTTTTTTCAGAGCGGAATATCATGCCTGTTGGAAGATGACACTAAGCCGACAGGAATAACCCCAGAATGACAAGCTCAGGAGCCAAAAAGACCTTGGCGCAAGTGAACAATGGGCCCTATCCAACAGCATAACATTTAAGGTGGAGAAAAGGTTTTACACCTGGGCAGGAAAAAGCCAAAGGGACAAGTACAGTAACTGTGAGGGAAATCTTGCAATCCTAGTGGGCGACCCCTTAAACATGAGCCAGCCGTGTGCAGCAGCCGCCCAAAAAGCTAATGCAATCCTTGGTTGTATATACAGAGGCACAGAATCAAAATTATGTGAAGTATTACTACCACCCCTCTGTAAAGCCTTAGTAAGGCCACACCTAGAGTACTGCATCCAGTTTTGGTCACCATATTATAAAAAAGATATTGAGACTCTAGAAAGAGGGCAGAGAAGAGCAACCAGGATGATGAGGGGGCTGGAGGTTCAAACATACAATGAACGGTTGCAGGAACTGGACCTGGCTAGTCTATGGAAGAGAAGGACCAGGGGAGACATGATAGCAGTGCTCCAGTATTTGAGGGGCTGCCCCAGAGAGGAGGAGGGTGGTCAAGCTATTCTCCAAGGCACCTGGAGGCCAGAGAAGGAACAATGGATGGAAACGGATCATGGAGAGATTCAACTTGGAAACAAGGAGAAACTTTCTGACAGTGAAAACAATCAACCCATGGAAGTTGTGGGAGTTTCATCCCTGGAAGCTTTCCAGAAGAGATTGGACTGCCATCTGTCAGAAATGGTGTAGGGTCTCCTTCTTGGGTGGGGGGTTGGACTAGATGACCTCCAAGGTCCCTTCCAACTCTGTAGCTGTATTCTATTCTACATTCAAATTGGGCTTCCCCAGTGTGTTTGCCAGATTTGCTGTTTTAAGTTGGGTGGGCTTCAGCTCCCAGAATTGGCTGGCCGGGGAATGCTGAGAGTTGAAGTCCAGCCATCTTACAGCGGCCAAAGTGGAGAAGCACCGCTCCGTCTAGAAGGTTGATCTGGGGCGGGGGGGTCACCCCTTTCGGAAAGGCATTCTTGGGGATCAGTTCCAAGCAAAACAAGTTGACCTTTCAGAACTCTTCAGGAGTTGAAAGCTTGAGGACTAGGATTTTGAACTGAAAGCTGCAACCGCGGGGAGTTTTGCTCTTCCGTTTTGCAGAATCCTGCCCTTCTGCAGCCAATTGAAGTCTTCCGATGTTTGGTTATTGAAGTCCCAAATGCTCCCAAGGAGTCACTTAGCTTAGGATGGGGCTGGTCCTATGCTGGGGGTGGGGGAGGGAGAAAGTCCTCCTCCCCTTCTGTGCTCCACACCTGTCACTGTTGGGAAAGGATGAGGTTGTTCCTGCCGCGGGCCCAGAAATGGTCTCCAAGGGGCAAAAGTTTCTGGCCTCCGCCTTGAACTACACACTCGTTGCCTTGTCTCTCCACATTGTCTGAATGCCCCACACAACCCCCCGCTCGGCTACCGGCTTCTGGGACAAGCACTGGGGCAGGGCCAGCGGCCACCAGAGGGTGGCACTGCAGGCCTTCTTATGGCCGCCCCAACGCCGCTCCTCTGCCCCCCTTAGAGCAAGATGAACTTGGAAACGGGACTCTCGGAAGACGAACTGACCCCCGAAGCCGTGGAGTTTTGCAAGAAGCTGGGCAGCAAATCCACCAAGGTCTCCGACATCGTGGGGAACAAAGACTTGGCTGTGTACACCGCCATCCAGAAGGGGGTCATGAAGGTCAACGATCAGGCCACCTCCAACGCTCAGAAAATCCAGAAGTGGCTCCTTCTGAACAAGGACTTCTCCGTCCAGAGTGGCGAGCTTGGTAAGGCTTTTTTACGAGGGGAAAGGGCCCAGGGGGTGGCGGGCACGGTTTAAACGTCCTTGCCCTAACCCCAGCATGGCGAGGGTGCCAGAAGTGGCATGCAGAGGCATCGCCTGTTGCTCTTCTGGGTTCCGGTTTGTGCCGGCCGGCTGGTCTTTCGCGCACGCGGGAGTGTGGGAAAGCGGAAGAGCAGCTCCCGGCGCGTGCCTGTGCGCCAGCCACCGGGTCTTCTGGTTTCTAATGCCACGCGCAAAGACCAGCTGGCCTGTGCGTTTGAAGATCGTCTGGTCGGCGCATGCAGGCGTGTTAGAAACCGGAAGACCAGGTGGCCGTTGTGCATGCGTGCGCCGGGAACTGCTCTTCTAGTTTTCCGGGTTGCGCGTGTGCGTTTTGGCTCTCGGTGCCTTTTCGGCACCGGCACGCTCCTGTTTCGGCACTGCGTCCTCCAAGATGCTAAATTGAAAGAGGGAAGCAGCGTCTGCTCCCTTGTCCAAGTGGAATGGTTGCCTTACTCCGGGGCGGAATCCTCCAAGGTTTTAAGGAAAGCTGCCTCCGTCCATTGGGGCAACGCCAAGGAGACTCCTAGCTCTGGGTTGTCCAGTGTAAGGGCAGCCTCCACCTGGGGAGGGGTCTGGTAAGCCCGCTCCTCGTGGTGTTAAGGGAGCAAGAAGCGTCCTTCCTCCCACCTCCCTCCAGACGTTGCAAGGGATTTCCTCTGGATCTTGGTTCTGCAGAGCTTCGGAAAAAATTGAAAGGGGGATAGAGGGGAGGGGGCTTTGGTGCTAATGTGACACACACACACACCCACACACACCCATGTGTCTGCCTTCCAGGCCCAACCATGAAGCTGAAGAGGCCCGTGGTAAGCAAGATGTATGAAGAACAGATCCAACAGCTTTACTCAGAAACACCGAATTTCTGAACCAGGATGCGCGTCTCTCCGCCGGCCTCTGTCCAAAGTGCGGCAGCAGCTTTCCCGGAGCCTCTGGGGAGGCTTCCCTTGATAAACGAGGTTTTTTCCCCAATAACGGCATGTTGTCTTCTCTTGCCCTTGGGACTCTGGCTGTGCCAGCGGGAAGCCTCCGGAAGACCCTCGCCGGCTGTTGTGACCCCAGGGTCCCTCTTCCTGAAAGGAATGTACCAACCTCAGGGTTTCTCTCTCTTTCTTTCCTTTCTTTCCTCTCTCCCTTCTTCCACCCAACCTCTTTCTTTCTGACTATCTTTCTGTCTTTTTTCCTTCTTCCTTCGCTCTCTTTTTTCCTTCTTTCTGCCTGTCTCTCTTTTTTCCTCCCTCCCACTTCCTTTTCTTTCTTTTTTCTTCCTTCTTCCTCCCTCCCTTCTTCTTCCCTTCCACTCTTTTTGTCTGTCTTTCTCTTTTTTTCCTTCTTTCTCCCTTCTTCCTTTTTTCTTCTTTCTGTCTGTCTTTTTTCCTCCCTCCCTCCTCCTCTGTTTCTTTTCATTCCTTTCTTCTTCCTCCCTCCCTCCCTCCTTCTCTCTCTCTCTCTCTCTCTCTTTCTTCAAGGGTGGGATAGCGAACCAAAGGAAAACATTGCAGCGATGCCACAGGCTGGGTGAACATTGTGTGTTCTTGCGATGCCATGGGGTAGCTTGTTGGGCAAGTCTTTGCGTGGGGCACTTTTTCTCCTTCCACAGACGGCTGGTGTCCATGCTTGCACACACAGCGGCAACATTTCTTCCTGCAAGGAAGCCCGGAACACTTTAAAAGCCTTCTCACTGTTTTTACCTGGGGTGGGGTGGGGTGTTTACATAGCAAAGTTCAATTTGAGAGCAGATCTTGAGCTCCACTTTGCCCCTCTTGTGCCAGGGGGACCAGTTTCCCGGTGGGGAAGGAAGGAATGGGCAGAAATCTCCCTTACCTTGCTCACAAGTGTCTTGGGAACACATCTGGGAACCTGGACGAGCCCTCTGACTTGAATTTTAGGGTCCAGCCAAAGTTTAACCTTGCACTTGTTCTGCACGAACCTAAGATTTAAAATTTCAGCCAGATTATATCGGGGTTTGGGGGTGGTGGTGTGAAGCTGCTAGCTGTGCCTGCTGCCGTTAAATCTATATAAAATTGCAAGCACTGCTCTGGATTCAAAAACCAAAATGTGTAGAAGAGCCAAAAATGGGCCCCTGTGAAGTAGAGCCGCTTTTCTGTGCAAAGAGGGGCTTATTTAATGTTGATGTTTGGTCATGTTTAACGTTGAATTGGGCAAACGGGTCTTGAAGCGCGGGGGGCAATCATGGATTATAATTTTTAATAGTGTGAGCTAAACCAAATCACTTTTAGCTTCTAGTATGAACGTGAGGGGAGGGGGCATGTTTGATAAAGGTTCATAAGGCTGCTTTGTTTTCGTGGGAAGACTATTTCTTCTCCTTGTAAATGTGATAACAGGAATTCCCTGTAATTTATGGATTGGGGGCAAAGGAAACCTGCCTTAAGGAATCAAATGTGATGAATGTGTCCATTTTTATTAGGAGTATCTTTTCTTAAAGGCCATCCAAAGCTGGGAAGGACACCACATATTGTAACAAGGTCTCTCTATATATATTTTGCAAAATATGCAGATGTTGGCTTAGAGTTTTTCAGACTCACCTTTTCCTTGCAAACGTGGTTATGTTATGGTGAGCTTTGAAGTTCGCCTTCCGTGACTTAGCATTGCCTCAAATTTTGGGGTCCGGCTTCTTGATCTTCCAGCTTCTCTAAGTGGAGTCCCAGGAAATCGGGGTGCAAAAGCCAGGGGTGGGTGGTAAAGACATTATAAGTAGAAATTCTGCAAATTTTTCCACCTGTCTGTTTCAGGGCCTGCTGTTCTTTATGTGGTCCCAGGTTTGTCTAAGGCCCTTTGGAATCATGTCAGGAAAATATTTCAGAATAAAAAAAGGATGCAAGCTCAAAACTTGTCTTGAGTGTTGTTGTTTTTTGTAGCGTCTCTCAAGGGCAGGGGCCTTCAAACTTGACAGCTTTAAGCCTTGGGGGACTTCCCCTCCCAGAATGCCTCCTCCAATCACGTTAGCTGAGGAATTCTGGGAGTTGAAGTCCACAGGTCTTAAACTTGCCAAGGTTGAAGGCCCTTGTTCAAGATTCTTCTGCGTGAACTTCTCTCTGCAGCTAACAGAGCCCCGCAGGAGTGTCGTGGCAGGCTAAGCTGGATCTGGCTGCAAAGTTCCCCATGGGTGTTGCAGGGCGTAAAACACCACGAGCCCCACGAAACCATGGTCAATGGGACAGGCAGGAGGCTCGCGGGAGTCCTGTAAAGCAGTGGTCGCCAACCAGTGACCGGGGACCACTGGTGATCTGCGAGAAAATGTTGGTGCTCCACAAAGAAATGTCAAACCCCCCAAAGCAATTAATCCAGGCTGCGCAGGAACACAAGGCTGCCCCGCCCACATGGCCCGCGGGAGCACAAGGCTTGCGTCGCTTGCGTTGCAAACAACACGAGGTTGTGAGGGGAGCGGGGAAAGGGCGGAGGGGGGAACTCACCCCATTTGCCCCACGCGCCTGGCCTGGCTGCTTCTTTCCGCTTCTTTCTTCTTCTGCTTTTGGCTGCACACAAGGAAAGCAGCCAAAGTCTTCCTTTCTCTCCCCCAAACTCTGCCAGAAATGAGTCTTTGGGACCCTGCAAGGCCTCCTGCCCGAAGAGGCTGCACCGGCGCAACAAAGACTCATTTCTGGCAGAGTTTGTGGGAGAGAAAGAAAGACTTCTGTGTTTTTTTTTAATAAGAATTTTTATTTTTAGACAAACATACACAAACAAAACAAAAAACATAAACCATCTTCCAGTTACATACATAAACAGGTTTACAATACTTTCACTCTCACAGGCAATCTGATTAACATATATCTTTACTTTGGGAGTTCCGATTTAATAGTATTTTTACTTTGCTTAAGAGGAGATGGGACTTATCCTTCACAGGAATTCAGATAAAACTATATTTTTACTGTGGGATTTCTGATTAAACTGTATTTTACTTTGGGAGTTCCGATTTAACTGTATTTTAATCTTCACAGGAAATCCCGAAGTAAAAATACAGTTTTATCTGCATTCCTATGAAGTAAAAATACAGTTAAATCGGAACTCCCAAAGTGAAGATTGCCTGTGAAAGAGTGAAAGTATATGGTAAAGCTGATATCCTAGGAAAGTAAAGAGGAAGGATTTAAACCCTGCATTCGCTCTCTATATCTCCCGGAGCAAGGAAATTTTAAAAAGCCTGTTTGAATTACTGGGAGGGGCCAGAATTTTGCCCCATTCGCAAGAGACAAACAAGTAGCGTCCTTGCTGGCTCTCTTTGTATTCTGCGGTTTCTCTGTGTTGCCTCAATGACTGTTTTGCAAAAGAGACAGAATTGTTTGAAAGCTGTGCTATTTCTTGCCTCTCCAATCACCAGAATCAAAAGTTGATTCCCCTCCGTTCATTGGGAGGAAAGAGTCATAAAGAGGTCCACTTCTACCCAAGTTTATGACGGTGGTCTCCAGGCAACAGAGTTGTAAATTCTTTAGGATAAGCCATCTCCATAGAAATGGGCCATAACCCCCCCCCACACACACACACACCTTTAAGAGGGAATCTAAACACAGCCTGCCTGTTTTTCTTTGCTGGCAAAGCTGAAGAAGTTTTTCTGCTTCTGCTGCTTTCCTTGCATGAAGCCAAAAGTCTCCCTCCCTCCCTCCCTGAGAACGGAGCTGGAGACGGTATCCTGCCATCCCAAATTAAGAACAATCGATCGGTAGGAAAACGGGGTGGGGGATTTTCCTGCAGACTTTTTTTGGGGGGATTTTCCCAGGGTCTCTGGTCTGCGGGATTTAAAAATATGAGTTTGAGGGTCCCCGAGGTCCCAAAGGTTGGTGACCCCCGCTGTAAAGTATTGTGAAGCGGGGAAGCATTTAATGACTGTTCAAAGTGGCAACGCCACTAAAAAAAGAAAAACTTTATTGTCGCGTTGAATGTACACTAATTGGCATACCTTAAAATGAAATTCCGCTGCATACAACTCTCCAATATTCACTACATAACCATAACAGAATGAATCAAGAAATACAAAATTATACCCTGGGAAACAGCAGTTCAGACTAATGATTTGTTTTTCACACTTAAGGACCTTTGTAGCATCCCCGTGATCATGTGGTCAACATTCGGACGCCTGGCAACTGACTCATACTTACGACCGTTGCTGTGCCCCCCAAATCACGTGATCCCCCTTTTGCAACTTTTGGGACAATCAAAAATCGCACAGGGAAGACTGATTCACTTAGCAACCCTGCTAGTAACTTCTTGGACTGCGGTAGTTCGCTTAAGAACTGTGGCAAGGAAGGTTGTAACACGGGGACAAAACTCACTTCACAGGTGTCTCACTTAGAAACTTTGGGCTCAATTGTGGTCATAAATTGAGGACTACCTGTATATGTATATAAGTATAACCTCCGGCACACTATCACTGGAGGTTTTTAAGATATTACTAGACGGTCACTTATCTGAAATGGTATAGTTTTTCCTGCTTGAGCAGGGGGCTGGACTAGAAGACCTCCAAGGTCCCTTTCAGCT